AAAGGGAAGGGATTGTAGGGTATCCATCCCCCTGGGGATAAATTTTTGTTCTCTCTTTCTTTGACTCTCTCTGGCAAGTGTATGTATGCATCCTGTAGCAAAAAATCTCTCTTTTAAAAAATTGTATTTTAATTGCCAGAGGTGTGTACACTCACTAGAGAGAGTGGAGGAGGAGTGTGTGGTCAGATCGCACCAGGATGAAGTGATATCCCAGATAATTTTGGAAAACATTTTGGCCTAGGCCTGGCCCTGTAGCACAGTGCATTGGGAGCTGGATCCTACACGGCTGACCACGTTTCGCATCCCAGCCCCGGAGGCTTGAAAAACTGTGTACGTGCCTAGAATCCTGAAAGGAGGGAGAGATGGGGGAAGGAGGATTGTAGCATAACCACACCCTGTGTGTGTCAGGGGGTGCTTTCTCTCTCTCTCTCATGAGTGCACATGCCCCCTGGCAATAAAAAACAGTGAGTTATTTGGGAGGGGCCAGCTGGTGGCATGGTGGTTAAGGTGTTTGGATCCCACACGCTGACTATGTAGTTCAAGTCCTGGACCCAGTGGCTTGAAAAACATGCTTTCCTTGGATGTGTGTGCCCAAAATCCCCAAAGGAGAGAGAAACGGAGAAGGGTTGGCAGTGTGGCAACCCCCCTCGTTTTCTGTCTCTTCTCTCCGTCTCTGGCGAGCACACTTGCCCTCTAGCGTATTAAGGAAAAATCATTTTGGCCTACAGGATACATGGGAGTTCTACCCTGCAGTCCACTAGCCTTTCTTGTGTTATTGTCTCAGTGTTTATAGATTAATAATGAAAATTGCCCGTTTTCACTAGACATCAGCTGCGTGCTCGGACCTGAGTTGAGCTCTTCATTTACGCGATCCCATGTCCACACTGTAGTCACATCGGATTTCACCAGCAACCCAAATGTCTATGCTTTAAACAGCCCAGCAAGTACTTAGTGTGAGGCTGAGAGTAGGTGTGCCTCCTGAAGGACGCTTGAAGTAGGAAGAAGCAAATTTCTTTCTTTTTTTCTTTTTTTGGAGAGGTTTTTGCTATAGGGCACGTGCGCTTGCCAGACAGACAGAGACAGAGAGACAGAAAGCGAGAAATCACCCCCAAGGGAGGATGGCTACGCCGCAATCCCTTCTCCTCCATTCTCCTCTCGGGATCTTGGGCACGCACACACACACACGCCCGGCATGAGTTTTAAGCCACCGGGTCCGAGACTCGAACCGTGGTTGACTACGTGGGAATCCAGCGACATAGCCATTACGCTAACTGCTGGTCCTGGAAGAAGCAAATTTCTGAAGCCATGTAACTTGGGGATAATAAAGCTTACTACAGAAGGAAGTTCTGTTTGCAGAAAGATTGACCCCAGGCTCCTTTAGATGGGAAGCTTCCTGATTAAACATGAGTTCAGTGTACTCGATCTGAAGCGTGAACAACTGTTGGAGGAGGTCCTCTGTGGGTTTAAAAGAAGCATGCCTCATCACTTCCTTGCTTCTTAGGGCTTCTTCCCAAGTCCTGTTAGGCAGAAGTCAATGAGAGGATGCTCAAGAGGACTCAGGAGATGAGAATGGAAAAATATCCACTGGGTTTGGTCTTTGCAGAGTCATTGGCGATCCTTGTTAAAAGAGCCATGTCTGCATCAGGTGAGGTTAGGTTAGAGAAATGCAGTACCGAGGCCAGTTTTACTTGTGGTGAGGGTGGAGGCTGGGTGCTGAGAAATCAATAAAAAAAAACGTTAAAATGAAGATAAGTTAATTCCTTTCAAAAAGGCTGGCCAGGGCAGGAAGGACGATGGAGAAGGTTGAGGAGGGTTGGCTTCATTTTTTCATGTAGAAAGAGAGCCTGCCGTGGAGACGCTGGGAATGGCGCGGGCTGAGCAGATGGTGAAAATACAGGGAAGAGAAGGTGTCATTAGTCCGTGATGACAGGTGCACTGTGGTGAACGAAGCGGTCAAGGTCACAGATGGACTAGTGAGCTTTGGGGAGGGGGCCATTGTACTGAATAGAGGGGGCCCGAGGAACGGAGGTGAGGGTGGTGCCCAGTAGGTGGGTTTCTCTGGAGGAAGCAGAGTGGTCAGGGATTGTCTGTGGATGCCTTTATACCTGGTTCCCACTTCAGAGGGTTGGTAATGGGTTTACCCCATGAAAAGTTGGGGTAGGAGAATGGCTGCCTAAGTGAACAGGAGACACACTGGCTAGTATAAAGGAATTATTCTAAAGGACGAGAGTGTCTCTGGTGTTTTTTCTTTTACCAAGTTTTTATACTGGGCTGGGTAGCCTGAATACCTGACCCACTGCTATACTCCTTTCTTTAAAAAAATAAATTATTTCTTCTGTGAGTGAGAGAACGTAGACCTCCAGCAAGGTCGTGATGCCATGATCCACCGTCAGCTAGCCCCAGGTCACAGGCAGCAGATGTCCTGTGTACGTAGACAGGTCTCCAGTTACAACCTGGACCCTTCTCACGTGGGTCAGCTTTACACAGCACTGTATTTTGCCACTGCGCCACCAGCCACACCCACCACCACTGCTTTTCTCACACCCTACCCAAGACTGAACCCTACTGGGTATCAGACTTGGACACGCTTGTACCAAGCCCTTTGTGGCTTGGTACTTTTATTTTTGACTTTACTGTCCTCTGTTTCATTTCCAAACGTTTTCTCTAGGCGTTTGAGGACCCTTGGTCTTGGGGCTGGCAGGTGCCGTGGTGGTTAAAGGCGCTGGATTTCTACATGGCCGACTACAGTTCGAGTCCTGGACCTGGTGACTTGCTTTCTCCCTTTCCCTTTCTCTCTCTCTGTTTGTCTGGTCAAATTAAAGAATAACGGTAACAAATATAAATAAATAAATAAATCTTTAAAAAAGAGAGAGAGAGAGAGAGAGAACCCCTGCTCTATTAGAAAGAAATTCTCCAGCACTCTTAGCCTCTTCTCTGAACCATCCCACCATCTGAAGGTTTAAATGATCACTGTTGGCCCTGAAGATTGGTAATCCCCTGAAGGTGCTGCCACTCTTACAACTAAAGTCCACACTTTATTGAGTGTTTATTCTATGTAAGAATTGTTCAAAACACTCTGTAGTAGCTAATTTAATCCTCATCAACCTAAGGAGGTTGGTACCATTGTTTTTTATTTTACACAGATTAGAAAGGCTGTTACCAAGAAGTTATGGAGTGGGACCAGCAGATGGAATGATAGTTACATCACTGGACTCTCACACGGTCGACTGCAGTTTGAGTCCCAGACCCTGTGGCTTGAAATTCACACTGGGTGTGTGTGCGTGCATGTCCAAAATCCTGAGAGGAGAATGGAGGAGAAGGGATTGCAGCATGGCCATCCCTCCTGGAGGGGCGATTTCTCGCTTTCCATCTCTCTGTCTCTCTAGCGAGTACACATACCCTATAACAACAACAACAAAAAAACCCTCCTTATAAAAAAAGTAGAAGAAGTTATAGAACTTGATTAAAGGCTGAAAGCCAGGAGGTGGCAGAAGTGAAAGATGAGGTTAGACAGCAGGACACCAGAGTCTTCACTTTTGAGAGAACTAAATACATGGACTTCCCTTTTTCTTCTTCTTCTTTTTTCTTTTTTAAATTGGCAGAGGGCATGCGTGCTTGCTAGGAGAGAGAGAGAGAAAGCACCCCCTTAGTGGGAATAATCATGCGGAGTCCCCTTCGCTCCATTTCTCCATTCCATCAGGATTCTGGGCCTCATGTACTCACGCCTGCTGTGTTTTTCAAGCTGCCAGGGCTGGGTTTCAAACTGCGGTCGACCATGTGGGATCTGGCACCCTAAACATGGAGCTATAGGGCCTGCCCAACATACAGACTTTCTAACAATCTTTCAGATTGGGGCTTTTGGATTCCCTGATACTTCAGATACTTCATTTCCAATTCCTAAATCTTGTAAAGATTGCGTGGTATAATTCCAGGTGGTTTCTTGGCTGTCCCACTCCAGGTGACTCCGTAGTCCGCAGTTTGGATTGCTGAGCCACTGGTCTTTCTTGCTGTTTCTTATTTTTGGTTTCTTTTGTCTCAGAGGCTTACACTTTAAAAGCAAAATGAACAGAACCCTTTTTATTGTCTTCTTAGGGGGTTTGAGGAGGTCGTGTACTTACATGCTTATGTTGAATCTCCCATCACTTGGACTTTGAACCGCTAGGTTAGTTTAGCAATAGTAGATACTAACTTGCCATTTAACATTTTAAAGACCTAAGGAAGCATATACTTGGTCATTTTTAACTTGTTTTATTCCCTAAGGAGATTGGCGTGTGTGTCAGGGTAGTCTGTGAGCGTGTCCACAAGCAGCATCATTTGGAGTGCCGCAAAGCAGTAAACCAGTCACGTGCACACTGCGCGGAGAGTAGATGGACGAACTGTCATGTGGTCAGTTACATAGGGTGTCACATGGAGCGGTAGGTGATTCTCCTACAGCTTTAACGTGTATTGATATGGTAGGGTCCAGAAAGATAGTGTTAATGACAAGTGCACAGCATAGTTCTGTTTCTTATGAAGTTCAAAAATAAGTCTTACGGTTATTTTTCAAAAGATACCACATGACTCCAAACTAGAATAATGTGGTTCTGTCCGTGCAGAAGACATTCACTAGACAGCAGCAGAAAGCAGTAGGACACAGCACAACACAATGATGTAAATCTGGTATGATCATTTTTGAATATTCTGAATACTGCTGTGGGTACCCAATAAAGCACACATTTGTAAACCAAATAAGTAGTCTGGCGTGATTATGAATGCTTCGTGTAGTGAATGCTAACCCACTGTGGGAATGAGCCAAAGTCCGAGAAGGAGGATCCCCAGAGCTCCAATAGACTGAGAAAGGGGATTCCCCATGCTGGAGAATTGGTTGTATGTTGGAGCGGCTGGTAAACAGGTAGGTCATTAAGTGAGGAGTGACTGTACCATATTTGTTCATACATTCAGCCGTCAATGGACATTTGGGTTGCTTCTGCTTTCTGGCATTGTTAACAGAGCTGATATGCTGCAGTCTAGTCAAATTCAGCCCCATTCCTTCCATGGTGGGAGCTGGCCCGATGGCTGCCACAGCAAGCTCCACAGCTCATGGGCCCTGGCTCCCCTATCCTGGGACCTGGGGATAAGTTTGGCTGTGGACATGGCTTTTAAATAAGTAAATAAATAAAATACAGAGAGAGCGAGAGCATGCATGCATGTGAGTGAGAAAGAGCGCGTGTGTGCAAGCTTGCTGCTGTGACCATTTATGTATAAATTGTTGTTTGAACACCTGCTGTTAGTTCTCGTGGGCCTATATCTAGTAGAATTGCTAAGCAAAATGGCAATTCTATTTTTAATTTATCGAGGAGCCACCAAACTTTTCCACAGTGGCTACACTATTTTCTACTCCCCTCAGCAATGTGTAAGGGTTCCAGTCTCTTCACACCTTCACCAATACTTGGTTATTTTCTTTTCCTTGGCTATCCTGGCGGGTATGGAATTCTCTCTCCCTATGGTCTTGATTTGTGCTTCCCTAATGACTAATGATGTTGAATATCTTTTTTTTTTTTTGGAGAGATTTTTCGCTATAGGGCGTGTGCGCTCGCCAGACAGACAGAGAGAGACATAGAGACAGAAAGCGAGAAATCACCCCCCAGGGGGGATGGCCACACCGCAATCCCTTCTCCTCCATTCTCCTCTCAGGATCTTGGGCACGCACGCACACGCACCCGGCGTGAGATTTAAGCCACCAGGTCCGAGATGCGAACCGCGGTCGACTACGTGGGAGTCCAGCGACATAGCCATTACACTAACTGCTGGTTCCCGATGTTGAATATCTTTTCATGTGCTTATTGGCCATTTGTATGTATTCTCTGGAAAAATATCCAGATCATTTGCCCATTTATAAGATTATTAATCATGATGGCGAGTGCATGTGCACACGTGAGAAAAAGAGAGACCAGCACCCTAGACAGAGTCTCATCGTGATCCCCTTTCTCCAGCCTTCCAGCATCGTGGTCATGCACCCCGTGTGTTTTCAAGATGACTCAAGGACTCAAGTCCATGGTTGGTCGATACGACTTGAAGCCCTGCAGTTGAGTTGACGGCTGGTCATTCTAAATTGCCCAAATATTGGCTCCAAGTATAATGGAGCAAGGCGAGCACAGGAAATTACATCGAAAATATTTTTTAGTATAAACCTGAACAAATAAAATTGACCTACCAAAGATGTCATTTTAGATATACACGGGTTTGCCTAATGTTCTTGTTTCTTTACTCACCGAGTTCTTCTAATCCTTGAGCTGGTAATAGAGTCTTAAGATACTTTTTACAAATTTTTGTGTGGTTGATGTTGACATTTTCCCATAGACCCTTCCTTATGTTGCCGTAGCTTTCCGATTGTGCCCTCTGTATCTGGCAATGTCAAGATACCGAACTACACGATCTCAGTTACTGGATACATCCCGACTCTCCCGTATTTCAGGGGCGGTGCTTACCGTGCTTTACTCCTTCCGTTTCCAAGTTGACGGAGCAGCCGATGCCCATGTAAAGGTCTGGCAGGTTCAGAAATACTGTTCTTGGACGGATGAGAAGTAGGAATTATTGCCGATGGTATTTCCTTCCACCACCTGATCGATGACTCTGGTATTTGTCTTCCTGTCTTCATAGCCGCTTCCTGAGAAGTTTGTGGTGAAAGGTGTCGTGGATCGTTTCTCAGAAGAATTTGTGGAGACCAGAAGAAAAGCTTTGGATAAATTCCTAAAAAGAATTACAGATCACCCTGTACTTTCTTTCAATGAACACTTTAATGTTTTCCTTACTGCTAAGGTAAGGACAGAATTTTGCATATTCCTTCCCCAAATTATCTTTCTCTTTTTTTGTTCATTTGTTAAGGTTTTTGCCATAGGGCCCATGTGCTTGCCAGAGACAGACGGAGACAGTGAGAGAGAGAGTGTGAAATCACCCCCCCCCCAGGGGGGATGACCACAATGCAGTCCTTTTTGCTCCATTCTTTTCTCGGGTTTTGGGCACACATACACATGCGTCCAGAGTGACTTTCAAGCAACCAGGTCTGGGACTTAAACCATGATCAGCCATGTTGGAGCCCAATGCCTTAACCTCTACACCACCTGCTTGCCCCCCAAATTAACCATTTTTATGGCTCTATGCCTTGCCTTGCATTGCCTTGCCCATCTGTCCGTCTGTCCATCCGTCCGTCCTTCCTTCTGAGAAATAAAGACAAATGCTCTCTACAGGATTTAATGCCATGGTCCTCCAGCCAGTTCGGATCATGGTTGTACGTGGGTACGCACACTCAGCATTGCACAGTGGTGTGTTACTGTTGCACCACCATGACTGGACCTCTAAGGCTGAACTTCCTTACAAGCTGTTTTCATCTTTCCCAAACCATCTTTACGTATAGTCCGCTACAGCAAATATCATAAAATTGCGTTATGTTTTTATGTTCATTTGCACTTTTGGTCCCATATATTTTAGAATTCATAACAACCCCCTCACCCCCAACTTGCAGCAGCAGAGGAAGTTAGGATATTTTCACTTGCCAAAAGCAGAGACAAGTGTCCTTAACACTTCCTGTCACAGGTATTCCCCAGTCTGACCATGGGCATCGGAGGGAAAGAACATTATTGAGTGTTTGCTAAGGGTGTTCTTCACAAGAACTGTGGAAGTGTTTACTCGTAGCCTCATTTTATAGACAAAGAAACTGAAGTGCAGGGAGTTTGACCTTTCAAGTGGCATCCCTAGGATCTGACATTGATTCCTTGTGGCTCCCAAGACGGTGCTTTCCTGCAGTATCAGTCTGCCTGACCATCGCTTGCAACCTCATTCTCTCGAGTGGGCATTTTTCCAGCATTTACCAGAAAAGCATTCGCATTCCACACAGTTACCAAATTCTGTAATATTCAAACTTAAGTTGGGTGTTTGCCAGTTTTTCTCTGCATTTCCCTGTTGGCAGAACTGACCTGAAACCCTGAGGCTCTTCACTCTGGTTGTCTACAGAAATGGGGCCACATCCTCAGGTTCTCATGCTAGCTTCCGTCAGCCCCACGTGTTTAGTTTCAGGTATCACATTCCCACATTCAGGCCAGACAATGCGCTCCATATTGGCAAGGGTAGTGAGTTCCAGAAACTTTCTGGTTTTCCTTCTCAAAGTGGCAAAATTGAGAAATATTTACAGATAACATCAAATGCTGTTAAAGGCTTTCGAGAAGGCTCCATTCTCTACTCAATAGAAACCACATGGCAAAGTCCTTTAGCTTTGTTTGAACTCTGTTGGCATTTGGCCTGTTCATTGCATTCCCGTTCATCGTCTTTTCTTCCCAGGTGCTATTTCCCTGACAGGTTGAACTTGTACACTTTTTCAAAATAAGTATTTCCTGGTGAACTAATCTTTAAGTAGGGTTCTTACAATTTATAGTTAAAATAAAATCCATCTTGTTTTCTAGAAGTACAACTTACATCCCTACCCAGGTTACATTGACCAGAAAACACCAAACTTAGTCATCTTTATTGAATAGAAAAGAAAAGAGCTTTTGCCTTGGATCTTTTGTCATTAGGAATCTGTATGAAGAATAAGTAGGAAAGGTTGAGAGAGATTGATTGATTGACTTCTCTCTGTGTGTTCCAAGCAGGATGAAAATTACTCTTAAAAATACCTTAAGATCCTTCAATGACAGTCAAACTCCAACTTCACATGAGTAAATACAGGAGAGGTGACCCTACAAAGAACAAATTCTAGCCCTAGCTTAGTATTGAACTAAATGCACTAAGTAGCCCTATTTTCTTGTTTTAAAAATCTTTCAATTGTAGTTCAATACATGAAATTTACCACTGTTTTTCTCTATTTGCTACAGAGAGCGTGTGCTCACTGGAGACAGGGAGAGGGAAAGCACCTCCCCCCCACCACCACCACCTAGGGGGGATGGCCACGCTGTAATCCCCTCTCTTCCGTTCTCCTCCTGGAATCTTGGGTAGGCATGCACACACACCTGGCATGATTTTCAAGCCTCTGGGTCTGAGACTCAAACTATGCCATTGGCCACGTGAGACCTAACCACCCCAACCACCGCACCACTGGCTGACCTGAAACTTTACAAACACCTCCACCGTACCATGTGTATAGTTCAGCTGTGTTGTGTGTTCACTCTGTTGCGCAACTGATCTCCAGAACTTTTTCATCTCGCCAGTCCCAGAAGTCTATACCCATTCAACCACAGCTTCCTGTTCCTCCTCCCTCCCCCCAGTTTCCCATCCTTTCATCTTTTCCCTCAACATACCTTGAGTAACTTGGTCTTGTTCTTCGATGAGCTGCTTACTCGTTCTGCCACAGTGAATGCAGAGAGAATCCAGCTTCTCCTTGTGGTGCTGTGATCTTCTTACACTAGCAGCGTCCTTACGCCAGGAAGGCTGGGCAATGTGGGGGAAACTTCAGCTATGTTCACATCCGTACTTTCATCTTTGCAGAATGGGTATAGCAAATCAGATAGGTTCTACCACATTTCAACGTGTGTATTAACCAGCTTAACTAGGGACATCCTTTCAGAGCTGTGTTTAAAGTAGAGCTTATACAGTCTGACAAACCCATTTGAGTCTAGCCCTGCTCCAGAAATTACTGTGTATGAAAGCATTTTGGAGAGCTCTGAGGCTTCAGGTACGAGCTTGTGAAGGGTGGGTGCCTCTGAGAACGTTTCTTGTGTAGAGCCTGGGAGGTTGGAAGGAGAGATGGAATCTCGAGGGCATTCTCTCAGGTGGTTTGACTTTGAAGGAAGGGAGAGAGAGAGAGGGGTTAAAGGGTTAGGGGATTGCTACGGTTTGTAAGATGGGGGAGCCTTACATATTCTACATGCCAAAGGATTGCATGTTGAAGATATGGATGGGAGAGGGGTAGGACAGGAGAGGGGATAATTGACAGAGCAAGAGGTTCAGTTGGGGGAAGTTTGTGGGTAGGAAAGGGTGGAATTGAGAATAAAATTGAAGGCTTGGGCTGCTTCATGCAGGGAGTGAAATCCGGAGTCTGCACGTAAAGTGTGGAGGCTGTGGCCTGAAGTCGTGTATCACCTAGGGAGGGGCGGCTGTGTTAACCCTGACTTCCTTATTCTCTGCTGTGTCCCCACATCAGGCTCAGATTGCCAGACAGCTATAGCCTTGTTCCATGTTCCCTCATCTCCCTGTAGACGTGTCCTTCTAGGATGGGGAATTAATGCTCTGTGTTGGGTGGATGTGAGGAACAGACACCCGCCTCTTTT